TGATGACCCAGGGTCCTGGGTCTAGTGGGGACCCGGAACTGCTCCCCGGGCCTGTTGCCGTGTGTGCCGGGTGGTCTTGAGCCACCTGCCGCCCTGTGAATTGGTGCCAGGTGTGAGCCGGCTGCATGGGGCCTTTCCCCTGAGCCCTGCTGTGCAGCTCCCCCGCCCCTTGGCCCTGGCCTGGCCACATCGTCCGAAGTGAACGTGTCCCTAGCACCCTGCCCAGGGCCAACACAGGGTGCCTGTCCCCACCTGGCGGGGGCTGCCTCCAGGGGCCCACGACCCCATGTCTCCCCCAGACCAGCTGCATTCTGGTGCCCAGGCACGGTCCGCTGGCCAGCCTCCTGGCTCAGGGGGCTCAGGCTCGTCCCCCACAGAGTCCGGGCCGCTCCCCGCCCTCTGACCAGGGCACTTTTCCGTGGTGGGTGTGTGTGTGAGAGCCCTGACCTCCGGCAGCAGCGCGGTGCTTCGGCGCTGGTGCTGGAGGGCCTTGCAGGCGGCTCTCCTCCTCCTCTCGGCAGCTGTCCTGGCCTCTGCGGGGCCGGCAGGGAGCGGTGGAACCTCTGCCCTCCCGGTCTGGCTGGGCACCGATCCGTCTTTCTTTTTCAGCGGGTTTTTTGTGATGGCTTCATTGAGACAGGTTACGTACCGTAAAACGGCCTTTCTGTGGTTGCTCAGGGGCTGCACGGGCAGCGGACCCTCACTGGCCTCCTGAGTCAACATCGCTGACCAGCATCTCCAGGTCCCTCCCCCTGTGGCCGGTGTCTGCACTCCCTTCTGACGCGGACGCGGCGCACGTGAGGGGTGCGCCGTTGGTGGGGGCGGCGCGGCTGCGTGCTGTCTGTTTCCTGGTCTCCGGTCTGTGCCCTGGAGTGGCGTTGCCAGATGGGGGGGCTCTGCTTCACCTGGGGGACCCTGCACGCTGTGTCCCCACCCCCCACGGCCTGGCTCCTTCCACAGCAGCGTTGGGGGGTCTCATCCTCCACACTGCCACCGCTCCTGTACTGTCCATCTGGCCGTCCCATCCTGTTCGGTGGCGTGGTGGGAGCCCCGCGGGCAGCGGGCAGAGATAAGAGACACCCATGTGGTGGTGAGAGCCCTCCGGGGTGTCGGCCCCCATCGCCCCTTCTTCGGGTGCTGACCGAGGAGGGGCGCCTGGGCCACGTGGTCGCCGCAGCAGCAGCTGCTCGTCGCGTCCCCGCCCGCAGCGTGCAGGACACCCCGTCACCAGCGCCAACCGCTCCTGTGTCTCTGGTCGTGGCCCTCTCTGTGGGGCGGTCTCCTTGCCCTGCAGGTCTGTGCCGTGAGCCTCCCCTCCCGGGCCTGCAGGCCGCGTGTGCCTGTGAAGAGGTGCCTGTTCCAGCCCCTTGCTGGCCCGGCTGCTCCTCTCCCTGCCGGCACACAGGCCCTCAGCCGACGGCCTCACCAGCCCTTGCTTGCTCCCACTCGTGGGGTGGGTTGTCTTTGCCCTCTCTTGCTCTTGCTGGCGTCCTCTGCAGGAGTTGGGGCCTGGGTGACTCCCTGCCCGCCTCCCCCTTCTGGTCTGTCCTCTGTCCCTTGTGTCATCTCGGCAGCTTGGTTCGGGGCAGGTGGGGAGGCGTCACGGCTCCTTCAGCAGACACTCCGCAGTGGCCACAGATGCCAGGTCCCGGGCTTTCTTAGGCTGCGGCGGCAGCTGGGCGCCATCGGGGCAGCCGCGCAGACCCAGCGTGAGGCTCGGGCCAGAGATGGGGCTCGGGCGTCTCCCGTGAGGATCCACTTTCCAGCCACGTAGGAAGCAAGGTGGTCACAGTGGCGGTGCTGTCAGGGAGGGGCCGTGTGGGGCTGACCTGGCTGCCCTCTGCATGGGACACATGGGGGCTGCCACCCCTTGGCAGCCTCAGCCCGTCTCAGAAACCCGCCCCCGCTCCCAGCACTGCCTGCCCGTGCCTTTGATGGGACCTGTCCCCACGGTCTGTGTGTCACAACGTGGCATACATGCCTTGCAGGTGACAGCTGCTCACAGTCACACCTGAGGCTGGTTGGTGTCCACAGCACGCTCCCTCCTGTGCCCTGAGACCTGGGAGGAGATGGTGCGTGGGGGTGATTGCAGGGGTGCAGCAGGGCGTGCGGGGGGAGGGAGTGGCCGGTGCTGGATGGGGGCGCTGGGCAGGGGTGTTGCACAGAGGAGCACGTCCGTGCAGGTGACATCCCCAGCTTGGCGTGGGCTGCCTGGGGGTGCTCCCCACTGGTGGGGCAGGCGCATGCTTGTGCCTGTGAAGTTGGTGGCCCCTCTCTCAATGGGGTGGCAGAGTGGGGGGCCGGGCCTGTCTTTATCCCGCCTCAACACCTCCCATCTGGCCCGTCGGCCGGACTCTTGGACAAAGCAGGTAGCTGCCTGGGAGCTGGCAGGATCCGCCTGCTCTCTTGAAGGCAGACACGGGCCCCAGGGCTGTGGAGGCCACATGCCCGCGGCCATATGTTTCTTGGGAACTTCTCTGGGGCCCGCCTCGCTCTCCCTGGTCGCTGACCCAGGACTCGACAGGTCCCACTGCTCAGAGCCTCCCTGGCTGGCTGTGCGGGACGCCGGGCGAGTGTCTGACTTGTGGTCAGGAGTTGCCACTGATGAGATGTGCAGGCTGTCCCGAGAGCCAGGTAATGACCGTCCTGGCCCGGGGACAGCCTGGGGGCTGCTGGTGCCCCTCTGCTTGGCCTGGACGCCAAGGCTCGTGGGCCGAGGGGCGTGCAGACAGGGCCACCTGCCATGGGGTCCCTCACGTATCTGGGGGGCCGTCCGCTGCGCCCCCGTGGAGCGGGGTGTAACTCGGTGCCGTCCTGGGTTTGGTGGTTGCTGCCGCCGCCGCCGGGAGGGCCGGTGTGCTCCGGGAGCCGCACCAGGGCCCTTGACTTCTGTCCTGGTTGGTCTCCTGGAGTCTGGCCCACAGCGAGCCCAGGTCTGGGGGGCTCTGCTCTCCACCCCGCCTGTGACTTTGAAATGCTGGGACCAGGCCCGCCCGTCCTGGTGCTCCTTCCTCCCCGCTGGCACCCGTGCTGTTGGGCCCCGGTGGGTGTGAGCGCGGCAGCCTGGCTGCCACCTGGGCCTGGTCCCCCGGGTGCGTGTCCCTGCCTGGTCTCACCAGGGGTTGTCAGGTGGACAGTGGGTGTCACTTCCTCTGTGAGGGATTCCTCCCAGGGAGGGTGGGATTTGACCCTCGCCCACCCCCTACGCCTGTGTCCACAGCTGCCCCTCGTCAGGGAGCTCGGGCCAAGCGTCGCTTCTTCTGTGGCGACGTGGTCAGTGGGGGACCTGGCACCCTGGCTGCACAGGCTCCTGCCCGGCGGTGGCTGCAGCCGGGCCCCTCAGTGTCCGCCTGGGCCTGCCCTTGGCCAGCACCCGGTCCCACTGGGCCCTCGGCCACTGCACCTGGGCGGGGGTGGGGGTGGAGCGTCCCTCGAAGACATGGGACTTCAGCCCCGCATGGGGGACTCAGGCCCCATCCCCACACAGGCCTGCATGCTTGGGTCTGCCCCTGGGCCTGAGTGGTGGCTGGGAGGGCCTGGCAGGTGGGCGCTGGGGGCTGTTCAGGTGGGTGCGGCCCGCCTTCCAGCTGAGGTGTCTGGCACCCTTAGAAGTCTTCCTGAGGCTTCTCGGAATCGGCGCCTGTGGCTTTGCTTTTGGTGAGAACCCGGCGTGTTTCCTCCCGCCGCACTCAGACAGGAAGCCCCACCCTCGCCCCGGAACTGGCCCCGTCCGGCTGTGCGCAGGTGGGAGGTGGCAGACAGAGCAGGCAGAGGTCAGAGGCTGGCAGCCCGCTGACACCCCCACGGCTTCGTCTCCTCTAAAAAGGGGCACCGTGCGGGTCTGTCTTTCCTGCCTGGCCTGAGTCTGCCGCCCACCAGTCCCCTCTGGACATGTCCCAGGGGCTGAGCAGAGGCCCAAGACTGTGATGTTCCCCACCCCCTGGAGTGAAGTTTGGGAGTGAGGTCCCTGGCGCCCACCCACACCCTCGCCTGCCCCCAGAGGGGCTGCAGGACCCCGCTTCCCCCGTGCAGGGTGGGGTGGGCACACAGGCACCGGCTCGTTCTCTGGGCCTGGGCGGGGCCTTCCTTCGGTCCGTGGGCCTCCTGTTCGGGGTCTTCATTAACCACTTGCCTCCCATCCCAGGGGAGCCTGTGCCCCTTGGGTGTAACACAGTGTCCCCCCAGGTGCTCTCAGAGGTGGGGGGATGCCCACCTCACTCCACCCCTGGGGTCAGGCCTGGTAGAATGACCGGGCATAGTCCTGGCAGCCCCTCGCCCTGAGTGGCTTGTGCTGTGGACCCTGGCACAGCTCCCCTAAGAGTCCACAGAGCCCCGGGGACAGGGCTGGGTCCCGAGCACCTCAGGCTGAGGTCGAGGCCTTGGGGTAGAGGTGCCTCTGTCTTCCAAAGACCAGTGTCTCCTCTTGGGGGGAGATCCCTGCGAGCCCTGGTGGGGGGTGCGTTCTGTCTTGGGGCTGTGTGGACTCACAGACTCCTCCCTGCGTTCGAGGGTTGCCTCGGAGGGAGGGCTCGCTCATCGCCACCCCTGCAGTGCGGCTGCCTCAAGCCGGGGAGGTTTTGAAATCAGTTTTCTCGGTGGAATCCAGAACTCTGGGGGTGCTGTGTGACCCCCTGGGAAGCTGTGGGATGCCTGACGGAGGGCCCCAGACTCGGCTGGGGGTCTGCCCCCCGGGGGCTTCCCAGACAGGCACCGGGAGGCAGGGGCCGCCTTGAACAGACCTCGAGAGGGTCCTTGACTCCGCTGGCTTTTTGGCACCACGTTTCTGTGCCAAGGGCCATTCACGCCGAGGGCTCACCTGGGAGCCCTGCTGTGGTGTGGCGGGGTCACGGCCACGAGCACCAAGCTCGCCGCACCCCAGCCAGCCTCACCTGCGGGTCGGGTGCCGGGTGCCGTGCGGCCCTGACTCGCCTCCGGCACAGTGGGGTCTGAGGGTGGGCGGGTGTCACCAAGGCTTCAGTGTGAACATCTGTCACTCACAGGTCTCTGAGCCCCCAGTCTCCATAAGAAAAACAGACGACCCTCCCTCCCAGCACCCCACGTCTTCAGAAAAGGACAAACAGTCAGGCTGGCTTCGGACCCTGCCCGCCTCCTCCAGCAAGGTTCCGCAGGGGTCAGGGGGGGTGGGCGGGGCCCCGGGTGGGCGGAGCCCCCAGCACCCCTCCCTCATTCGCCTCTGACCCTGCACCTTCCCTGTAGGGCCTGGGCTGTGTTCACCCGCGCCAGCGCCTCTCCGCCTTCCGCCCTTGGTCCCCTGCTGTTTCTTCCAGCGACAAAGAGCTCTCCCCACACCTCCCGGCCCTGATTCGAGACAGGTAAGGGCCCACTGTGCTCCGCAGCCAGCCGTCACCGCAGGCCTAGGGACGGTAGGGTGGGCTTGGGCCCTGCATCCCAGCGTTGGCGGTGGTCCGCCCCCTGCTGAGTTCCACAGCCGGGGTTCCCCAGCCCGGCCCTGAGTGCCGACACACGTCTGGGGGTGGTGCCGCCGCTCCCGGGCTCTCCTCTGGGAGTCACGTAGGCAGGCACCAGGTGTGACCCAACTGCCTCTCACAAGCCACCTTGGCTGTGTGGCAGGGACTTGCCTGGTGTCCGAGTCGTTCTGGGCGTCTGTGTGCACGGCATGAGGGCAGTTTTGAGGCTCCGTGCCCAGACCCCCCACTGCCTGGTGTGAGCTGATCTAGAACTGGCTGGGATGTCAGGGTTCGGCTGTGGCCCATTTTGTACATGGTGGCCAACGCCCTGTGTCCACGTCCCCAGGCAGCGGCTCACGTCTCCTCCCCACCTTCCATTCTGAGCAGTTGCATGCTGGCCCCCTGGGATGGGCGTGGGAGTGGGGAGAGGGGTTGGGTCGCACCTGTACTGTGATGCTTGTCTGCCCCCACAGCTTTTACTCCTACAAGAGTTTTGAGACTGGCGTGGCACCAAACGTGGCCCTGGCCCCGCCTGCCCAGCAAAAGGTCGTGAGCAGCCCGCCATGTGCCACCGTCGTCTCCCGGGGCCCCGAGCCCCTTGCCACCTGCATCCAGCCTCGGAAGCGGAAGCTCGCAGCGGACCCACCTGGGGCCACCGAGACGCCGGCGCCTGCCGTCGCCCCGGAGGAGGACAGGGACTCAGAGGCCGAGGTGGAGGTGGAGAGCAGAGAGGAGTGTACGTGTGAGCCTCCGCCTGCCGGCCCTTCCGGGGGAGGGGGCCTGGCCCGCGCTCGGCTATAACCGGAACCTGCTTCTGTCCCCACAGTCACCTCCTCCCTGTCCTCGCTCTCCTCACCATCCTTCACCTCGTCCAGCTCTGCCAAGGACCTGAGCTCCCCGGGGGTGCACGCCCCGTCCGCCCCGTCTGCAGCCCCGGACACTGCGGCCCCCGCTGATGCCCCGAGTGGGGGGCTGGAGGCGGAGCTGGAGCACCTGCGTCAAGCCCTGGAGGGCGGCCTGGACACCAAGGAGGCCAAAGAGAAGTTCCTGCACGAAGTGGTGAAGATGCGGGTGAAACAGGAGGAGAAGCTGAGCGCCGCCCTGCAGGCCAAGCGCAGCCTCCACCAGGTGCGCCCCGAGCCCTGGGCTGGAACCGGTCGTGCCTTTCACGGTGGCCACGTGGTCACAAGGAGCCCGAGGCAGCTCCGCACCCCAGTGACATGCACAGGCCGGTGTGGCCTGTGGTCTTCGGGAAGTGGCTTTGGGCGTTGCTCCCTAGAGGTCTGGGCTCCAGGAGAGGGCGCCTCAGGCCCCGCAGCAGGTGTGCAGGCCCGACATGGCCCCCGAGAGCCCGGCGTGGGGAGGGAGGTGCCAGGCATGTGCATGCACACTTGCACACTGTTTGGTGCCCACGCTGGGTTCCAGATGGTTCCACAGGAGTCGCTGCTCTTTTGAAGAGGGGGCTTGAGGCTTGAGTGGGTCTGCATCCGCCAGCTCCCTCCGCTCACACTGAGCAGAGCCGACAGGGACCACCTGTGGGACCCTGAGCCCAGCCGGTGCCCCCGGCGCCACCTCCGCGCTTGCCTGTGTCTTTTCTGACGAGTGGGAGCAGCCGGGCGTTCCCAGCGCCCGGGCCCGGGTGGGGCCTTCACACCAGCTTTGCTGAATTCACACCTCTGCTGGCGTCTGGCAGCTCGGGGAACAGCCTCACGCGTGGGCTGCTAGCACAACACAGCCCTGTGGTCCCCAGAGCCCCAGGCGTCAGGCGCCCCCCTGAGTGCGTTTCAGGCAGCAGACTGGGGACACCCTCCCCCCCATCCCCGTCCTGGTTCTGACTGGAGGTGTGACTTCCCACGTGCTTATTTATAAGCACGTTTGCAGGGGTGAGTCACTGACAGCCAGAGGGAGAAGGCGCACCCAGGGGCTTGTCTCCATCTCAGGAGGCGGTCTGCTGCTGGGGCTGAGCAGACTCCGGGCGGGAAGGACGTGCCCAGGATCGAGGCCCAAGGGGAGGCGGCGGCGGGGTCCCCTGCAGCCCCTTGGCAGGCCTCGACCCAGAGTGGGTGCAGGGCCCTGTGGGACCCGGTCGGGGGGGGCCGTGGGGCGCAGAGGAGTCCCAGTGTGGGACACTTGGCAGCCCCCGGAGCAGTGGGAGGGCGAGTGGGTGTGTAGCTGACTTGCCGCAGGACCCCCCTGCGAGGGGCGTGGCGGGCAGGGCGGTGACCCCGAGCCCACCCCCCACCCCCTCCCGCCCCAGGAGCTGGAGTTCCTGCGAGTGGCCAAGAAGGAGAAGCTGCGGGAAGCCACGGAGGCGAAGCGCAACCTGCGGAAGGAGATCGAGCGCCTGCGCGCGGAGAACGAGAAGAAGATGAAAGAGGCCAACGAGGCCCGGCTGCGCCTGAAGCGGGAGCTGGAGCAGGCGCGGCAGGTCCGGGTGTGCGACAAGGGCTGCGAGGCCGGCCGCCTGCGCGCTAAGTACTCGGCCCAGGTACGTGGGACGGGCGGACGGTGGCCGGGAAGTCTCAGCACGTCTGACCGGCCAGTGTCCTGGGACACCGGGCAGCGGGCTCAGCAGCCCCTCCTCCGGCCGGATACCCCAGGGGCCGGGCCGGGCAGTGGGAGTCCCCCATCGGGCCCTGGGCTTGCGCCAGGCAGGTGTGGGGGGAGGCGGGGCTGCTGACGCCCACCGCCCCTTTCAGATCGAGGACCTGCAGGTGAAGCTGCAGCACGCGGAGGCGGACCGCGAGCAGCTGCGGGCCGACCTGCTGCGGGAGCGCGAGGCCCGGGAGCACCTGGAGAAGGTGGTGAAGGAGCTGCAGGAGCAGCTGTGGCCGCGGCCCCGACCCGAGGCTGCGGGCGGCAGCGGCGAGAGCGCGACGGAGCTGGAGCCCTAGTGGACCCACTGCCTGCTGTCCGGCGGCTCGGACGCTGCGGGGGCAGGGCGGCCGGTGCCACGCCGCTGCGGCTCTGCGTGGGGCGAGCCTCCCCTCTTCCCGGCCATATAGCACAACGTCTTACTGTGCCTACAACCAAGCGAGTGTTCGCAACCACATGCTTTTGGAATCCACTGCGAAATTTTCTACTGGCCAAGTTCGAGTGAGCAAGCTGGGTCCCCACCTGTAGCTGGAAACGGTCAGTTCGGTGGCTGTGGCTGGCCTCTGCTCGCTGGAACATTCTAACATTTACACTTTTGTTATAAGCTATTTAAAACCAGTAAGAAGACTTGATATTGAGAAAATATCAACACGTTTTTTAATGACTAACTTTCAAAAGCCCCGCCAACACGCCACGCCGTTCAAGGACCCCTAAGGGAGCCGGGGCGGCAGCCGCCCCGCCCCCAGAAGCCATCACAGCTCGTCCGCGGCCGCAGAGGACAGGAAGGGCTTTTCTCCAGAGTCTCTATTTTTTCAGCGACAAAGACCCAGGTCTCCCGTGCTGCCGCCCGTGAGAGCGAGGAGAGGGCGCCCTGAGCTGCCACTGCCGCCTTACGCCCACCGCCCTGTCCCCACCGGCAGGTGCTCCCAGACCCCACTGGGCGGCACCTGCGGGAGGGGACCGGAGGCCGTCACGCCGCCTGACCAGGCGCCCCCCTCAGCGGGGCAGACGTCACTCCTCCTCCCTGGGACTGAGGCTGCAGCATCGGGACGAAACAGCATTAGTTCACCTTTTCTTTGTTTGTTCATTTCAACGTATACTTAGAACTGCACTTTGTCAAACATCTTCCTCCTCTTTTTATTCCCCAGTTAACTGAGGTTTTCACTTTTCAAGTGTGGAGACCGACCCTAGAGCAGGTCGCTCCCGAGAGCTCGAGCTCGGAACCCTCTGGTGCTCGTCCGACAAGGGCGTCGAGGGCGCGGAGGCTGGACTCGGGGGTAGCTCTGTGCCTTGCAGTGTCTTGTACAGCGAACCCCGACTCGTCTTTTCACCCCCAGATACCCGTCCCTCAGTAGCCATCGAATCTGCCACTATCAAACTAAGTTCCTTGCATTTATTCCAAATAATCTCGTTTACGCTCAACTGTTTATGCAAATTGTATATGGTTTCTAAGCCCAAGCTTGAAAGTGATTTCCCGGTAGACCAGAGGCGGCCCCCGAGTGCGGCGCTATTTATTCACACGAGGAAGAGCGCACCAGAGTTCCGGCCCGGCTCCGTCCTCGCGCCGCGGCGGCCACGCACAGGCCGGGGCGGAGACGTGGGTGCTGACACCCCTGCGGGGTTTCGTCCTTGGTTTACTGGGGGCCCAGGTGCTGCTGGACCCCTTCTGAAGTGCAATGCGAAAGGGACACCACGTACACGCAGCGTGTGTTTGGGTTTTGTTTTCTCTTGCTTCGTTTTTCTTTTGCAGTTACCAGCTCTGTTTGCATGGAGTTGCAGCCTCTGCCACACGCACCCCCTCGATGGGCATTATTACCGCGTCGTGTGAAGGGTCGGTTGTTGGGCACCTGCCCGAATGCCGTGTCGGCCTCGTTTCTCCAGAGTTGTGTTTTTTTCAGCCATTTTTCGAGGGAAACTAAGTGGTTTTGTTGGAGCAAAGCTTTACCTGTGTCAGCCTGTCGGGGAAGCGGCAGGGGGAGCGGCAGGGGGACCGGGCCGCCGGGCACCCCCGTTGCTCCCCAGTTTTCAGGCTGCAGGGGAGATGGACTTTTCTGACTTGTGCTCGAGGGCGCCGCCTGTTCCCTCCGGTCCCCGCACCCCTGCCGGCCTTGTCCCCAACGCTGGGAGGGGCTGAGTGGGCAGTCTGTCTCCCAGTGCAGGGGACGAGGCCGGGCAGGCCCGGCCCTCCCAGGGCTGCGGGGCGGGAGTCGGCCACAGCGGGCTCCCTTCACCAGCAGCTCGACCTTCCCGGCAGCTCCCGGTCCCTGGGTGAGGCCGGCAGGGGGGTGCCTGCCACCCCGGCCCCACAGGCACAGCGGCCTCTGGCCGGGCTGGGTCTCCCGCACTCTGCTCGGCTCAGCGGCTTTCTCTGAGGAGAGGAGGGGCCTGTGCGCAGGCCCTCGGCGCCCGTGGGGGTCGAGTCGCTCTCCCTCCCACCTGAGGGGACCTCACGGGCCGAGACACAGCAGCAATAACAACCGCGGGGCAGCTCGCGCCCGGTGCTCCACGTCCGGTCAGCGCTGGCCGGTGACGGGCCTCCCTGTAAATACCCCGTCGCACCCTGTAGCGTACGTGTACACGGGGTCCGGAAACCCTCCCTCCCGGTCGTCGTCTTGTTTTCTGGGTGGTCCTCCCCGGACGCACTCCTCTGCCAGAAGGGGCAGCCCTGCCCGGTGCCCGGTGCCCGGTGCCGGGGCCGCCCGGCCGCCCGTCCAGGCTCCCGGGGAAGCCGGTTCTGGCTTCCAGGCAGGAATCACAAACGACCTTTTTTCGATTAAGGAGAAAAACACAGCTCCACCTTTGTGTCCGCCAGGAGCGCCCGCATCGCCGTCCCCCCTCCTCTGCTGCTGCTAATGACAATATGATGACTTACTCTACTATCCGAGAACTATTTTTATGTAATTAATGTATGCGCTCTTGTTTATAAATGCCTGATTTAAAAAGAAAAAGGAAGCTTGGCATGTTTATCCATCTCGCTGTGGACCCGCTGTCCCTCCGCGCCCCTTCCCCCACCGTCCGTCCATACCCCTCCCCCACCGTGACGACGTGCCGTGAGGGACTTCGTGAGTCCACCCCACCCTCTGGGCCCCGGGCCTGGACCGGGCTGACCTGTGCCCCCGCCCACCCCCAGTGCTGTGGCCTCTCCCGTGCCGTGGATGTCACTGGAGGCCCGGCCACGCCGGGGGCACCTTGCCTGGCCCAGCCTCTGTGGGGTCTGGGAGGCCCGGGCCCCCCCCAGAGCCAGCCCGTGTCTCTGTGGGGTGGTGGTGTCAGAACCCGGGGCGCCGTGTCGCCCTGAGGGAAAAGCAGAGGTGCTGGCCTGCCTCTGGGAGGCCCCCCTGCCCCCTGCCCCGTACAGCCCCTCACTGGTCCCCTGGAGAGGCTGGTGGGCGGGAGCTCTGGGGCGGCCTGGCCCAGGCCCACTCCCGGCTCCCTGTCTCCTGCAGCCTTGGGAGACGCCCCCAGACCTGGGCCCAGAAGCGCACAGACCACCCCCAGTGACCCCCCGGGGGCAGGCAGCATTCCCCAGCCTGCAAAGACCTGTGTAACGCTGGGGCTCGCCGGGCAGGGTGGGCAGACGGCTGGCACCCAAGTGCCCAGGCCTCCAGGCCCCAGTCGCACAGCCCTCGCCAAGGCCCTGGACCTGGGCTCCCAGCAGCTGCTTCTCTTGGGGTTTGAGGCAGACTGGGTGGTAGGGGCCCTGCAGCACCAAGGGATGGATGGCAAACCCACCTCAATGGGGCACAGCTGTCCCTCAGTCCAGGTGCCACCTGGGCTCTGGCCTCGCTGCAGGGCACACAGCGCCCCCCGCCCTCCTCCTGGCCCCCAGCCCCTCACCATGAGGGGTCCCAAACCCATCCCAGGCCCCTTCCAGAGAACTGAGGGGTCAGGCCACGGGGCAGGAAGGCCGGGGTGGGCAGGCAAATCTGCACGGGCAGCTCTGGGGTCTGGGATTGGGGGGCTCCCCCCCAGGGTGGCTGGCCCTGCTGGGGGCCATGGGCAGGTGTCCGTGTGGCCTCAGAGCTGAGCCAGGCAGCTCCCAGCTCCAGGCCCCACCGTCCGAGCCTGGATGCCCCAGGCTTCACTTGGGAAATAAAGCGTTAAAAAGGCTCCGGGCACCCCGAGCAGACAGGATGGGAGTCCCCTGGTGTCAGAACCCGCCCCCCATTCTGAGGGGCTCAGGGAGAGGTCAGCATCAGAACCACCCCCAGTGTGCCTCCAGGACAGAGACGACCTCCGGCTGCCCCCCGGGGGCCAGCCTCTGCAGCCAGCCTGGGCTCCCCTCCCTCCCTTGCTGGTGCCCGGCGGGGGGTGCTCTCAGGAGGCTGTTGGGGTCCCTAGTCGGTCCCCACCCCCACCCCCAGCTTTCACTTCTGCCTGTCACCAGCAGCCTTGCCACCCCCGCCCTGGCCTGCCTGTGTCTTCCCCTCCAGTCCAGCAGCCCCTCCAGTCCAGCAGCCCCAACCCCCACCCTGGGCCACAGGCTGGCCCTGGGGACCCACCCTCCACCCTGTGGTCAGGGGCTGACTCGCAGGCAGAGAACCCCGGTCCTCATCTGGGTGGTGGGTGCCCGGCACACCCTCCTGGAAAGAGGAAGCCGCCTGCCCACTCACGGCAGCAGCTGCACGGCCCGGCCCTCGCCGCCCTCGCCGTGGCCCTCAGCCTCCGCCCCACCCTTGGCCCCCCGATCCCCCCAACGCCCCCTCTGCCTCACTTCTCCCTGCCTGTCACAGGGCCACCTGTTCTTGCTGGCCAGGAAGAGACAGGCCAGAGGGCCTGCAGGCAGGCCTGGGCCAGACCTGGGGCTCAGTAAGAGTGCCAGGCTCTGCCCGACAGGTCTCCAGCCCTGGCCAGACTTGGGAGGCCTGGGTGACCACTGCCTGCAGGGAAGAGAGGGCCCCGTAGGGGAAATGGGGGCTGGCCCGCCCCTCTGGCCTGTCCCTGAGGACAGTCTGTGCCCTCATGCGAGGGCAGGGTGGGTCCTTGCCCTGCTGGCCCTGCAGGATGTGAAACCAGGGGCTTGGGACCCCGCCCCCCCTCACAGATGCCCACTGTGCTCTGGGGGAGCAGCCTTGCACCCTCCTGCCTGCCCTGCCCACGCCAGGCCCTGGAAGGGTGGGAACAGCACTTCGGGAGCCTGGATGCCTGCCAGCCCCTGCCCCCCGCCCCCCACAGATGACGTGAGCCCTGCAGGCGCCGCACACAGAGCCATCTGCACCCAGGCATGTGCCAGGGTCTGGGGGCCTCGGGGGCTGAGGCTCCCGGCCCTGGAGCAGGTGGCCCCACTGCAGGGCGCGGACAGGCAGGTGGAGCCGGCCCAGCTTGTCCTCGGCGCGTCCTGTGCTGGGCTGGCGTCCGGTGCACAGGGCGGGGCCTTCCCGTGGCACACCGGCCTGGCAGCACTCACGGGCAGGAAGCTTGGCCCCAGCTCTCTCCCAGGTCCCTCCTGCTGCCACGGAGGCCTGTTCCAGAAACCTCCGGACACAGGGTACCTCGTGCAGGGGACAGCTTGAGTTTGGGGCTCGGGTTCCCGTGCCCACGATGCCCTGATCAGAGGACACGTGTGTGGGGCTGCTGGAGTCCAGCCCCAGACCCAGGCCTGCACGGCAACTCTGGTGCCCAGAGGAGTCCCCTTGGCCTGGAGTTGCAGCCACTGTGGTGGGCCTTCGGCCTGGTCCCGTGTCCCCCTGGGAGGCCGTGGACTGGCCCTGGCACCAACATGCTGACGCTCCTGAGAAGGCCAGGTTGGCTTGCACAGAAGCCTGCGAGCGTAGGTGGACCGTACCCTGCCTCTGCCCGCCCCTGCTCCCCCAACCTCTCCATGACGCCCTCCTGTCCTCTCCTCCCTGCCACATGTCCCCCTCCCCCGTATGCAGAACCCTCTGGCCCCTGCTGCCAGTTGGCCCTGGCAAGGCTCCTCAGGATGAAGGAGACCCAGCTCCCTGGCCAGCCCGCCCCCACGGATCCTCCGGGCTCCACTCAGCAGGGCCTGCAGGCCCACAGTAGGGGTGGGAGTGGGTGGGGGCATCATCCAAGACCCCATAGGGAAGGCTGTGCTTCATACCGTCCAAAGCCAAACCTGCCGGGCTCTGGCCAGGCGGGTGCAGTGGGTGGCTGGGTGGGCTGGGCCTGGCACAGGGACCTGGGAGGTGGTCAGGCGCTGCTCTCGTGCCCAAGTTCACACTCTGGTCTGTGTCCCCATGAGCATGAGAGGGCGGTACATTTGGGGCAGGGTCTGAGCAGGGTCCACACCCTCACCCTGCCCAGTGAGCGGGTGCAGGGCCAGGGGCTCTACTGGACAAGAGGGAGGGGCTGAGCCACAAGAGCCAGGAGGGGGCCCAGACGGGCGGGCGGCTGGTAGGACCCCGGAGCCCAGGAATGGGAGGAGCACCTTGTTGGAGGCAGGGTCTCCCAGCCTCCGGAGGCCAGCACCTGTTTGTGCTTGTGTACGCACAGGCCTGGGCTGCGGGGCTGGGGGCTGGGAGGAGGGCCAGGACTCAAAGCGGGAGCGCCTGCTGCCAGGGTGCTCCGCCGGACTGGCTGGGGTGGCCCCAGCTCGGGGATGGCAGGAGGGTGCGCAGCCCAGGCAGGGCCAGGCGCGGCCCCACCGAGGCGGACGAGTGTCCTTCCCCACTCCACTCTGGCACTGGGGGCTGCAGGGGGCGAGTTTCCCCCGGTCCCCGTCCCGCCCTCCGAGGGGCCTTGACCAGGTGGGCATGGGGTGCACTCCTGAACTCCTGTTTCTAAGTAAGAAGTCCCAGAAGGGCCCTGGGGGTTTGGGGAGGAGGCTTTCGGCCCAGGGTCTGGGCCTAGGTGGGCTGGGAGGGGCTGCTTCCAGAGTGTCTGGGAGAGAAGGGCTGTGGTGGGTGTGGCCAGCTGCTTCCCAGGCAGGAAGGCAGTGCTCACGGGGACAGGCCTGAGTGCTGGCCACCCGGACCCAGCTGCTTGGGGCTCTTCTGCTGCGCGGGGCCAACCTGGACCTAGTCTCTGCGAGACCCCCTGGTGCCCTCCCCGTGAGCGCCTCCTCAGGACGGAACCTGCCCCCACCCCATCCTGCACACCGGTGCTTGGGACTGGCAGTGGGCAGGGGTGCCCAGAACAGAAGGCTCCGTGAGGCCCTGCCTGCCTCGCCCCCTATCTCTGGGCGAAGGGCTGGGGCAGCGAGCCTCCAGGGAGTCACAGTGCTGGTTCGAAAACTTTCCAAATTCCTGCTCCTTCCGGCTTGGCCGCAAGCCGGGCTAGGGCGGGAGGGGGCGTCTGGCCCCTTGCGGAACCGGCAGGCCCGAGGGACCTCCTGGCAGCGCTTCTTGGGGGACCCTGAGCCCCTCTGCTATCCAGGACAGGGGAGCACACACTTGTGCCATTGGGCACGGGTCTGGCGTCCGAGTCTAGGGGGAATGGGCGTCGCCGGGCGGTGAGTCACCGGACGCGGCCCTGCCCTCCGTGGGGGGCAGGGCAGCCCCTCTTCCCACGTCCGCCTCCAGGACCGTGGACCAGCCGGGCGAGTGGGGAGAGTCTCTCGAGGGGAGCTGGAGGGCCGTGTAGCTGCCGCCCTCGCTGCGCCCCTCGGAAAGCGCGACTCAGCCCCACACCCCCGCCCCCCAGTTTCAGTTCCCCGCCAGCGCCAGGCCTCGGCCGCGGGGCTCCATCCGAACACCCAGTCGCCCAGACCTCGACGGCGGGGGCCCGCGGTTTCCGGCCCGGTGGCCTTAAGGGACTGGGGCCGCCTCTCCGAGAGGGCCTGCCGCGTCCCACGGGCCTCCGGCTCCACGCCTGCGCGGGCCGGACTCGTAGCCACCTCCCCCGCTCGGGGCGGGGCCTGGGGACCGAGACGGACCTGCCTGGGCTCCCGGACGGCGCCGCGGGGACCCAGCGCTGGGCGCTCGGGAGGGAAGGGGGCGGCTGAGCGCGGTGAACCCTCCTCACCGGGGGTGCGGGCTGTGGGGCG